TCCTCATCGACCGATAGCACGCCCAGGCGGCGGCTCAACCCGTTAGCAGCCCTTAGGTCGCGGAAATCTTAAACGCCACTTCGTTTCTCTCGCGCTTGATTATTGTAGACTCTAAATTCACTAGTAAATGTTAATTAAACCAAGTACAATGAGCTTTTGAAAAAATGAGCTGGACCATAATATGTCCATTCATATAAATTTTACTCTTTTAGTCATTATTCAGAAATTTTCTGGTACTAAAAATATTTATGAATAAAGAGTTGCAAATCTTTTTATTGAATTTCCTCCAGCTTTGAATAGAAATATATTTTTTAGCACTGTGTTGTTAGATTAGGCCGATACTAGATAATACGATACCTATAATTCGCTTTAGAGTGTTTAATAATAATAGGTAGGGAAATTGTGAATTATAATCTGCTTTATATCGGTGTTCCTAGCATAAATTTATATCTAGTCACTTGTTGCTTTTACATTATAATCAGTACATTATTAACTATATTATTAGAGCATGCACATATTATTTCTGTGACTTTTAATTCATTTATGAATCATATTAAAATACCTATTGTATGTATCTCGTCACTGTGATCGTATAAACTAATAGCCCAACATTCAGTTACATAGTTGTTGGATAGCTTGCACCTCGCAGGATATCAAATATGAGGAGTCTATATAACTTGAGATTAGATAGGAGATCCAATTTTAAGTAGACAAATTGCAGTAAACTCCGGATTGGAGGTGCTTTCTCAGATATTACAGCAAACGTCGTGACTATTAAATAAATTATTTCTAGTCAATTGTTCCTAGTCATTTTGCTTTATTTTTATTTTCATTATTCATTGAATACAAAATATATTTCACTTTTAATCTCGTATCGCTGTTGCCATTTTTAAAACGTTGCGTAATTTCCAACTGGAACTTTCCTTCGAAATTTTCGCGCAGAAAGAGACGATACGCGTTTAGTGGATTACGTTCTACCCAGCGCATTTGTATCATAACGCATAGTATGCGTTTTGATTCCGCACGGAATACGTCTGGTGTTACATTGTTAAACAATGACAGAACTTCTGTAGAACGTTAATACATAATTAATGTTGAAACATATTTCGTTGGCTAAAGTAAGGAAATGTTCATTACATACGACCTGTTAGCTAATAGAAGCGTCTGTGCAAAAGCGTAATTAAAATTAAATGAGAAACTTAATATTTCTTTTCATCTAAACTCGTATTAAAAATTATCAAGTAGATCATGTTTAATAGTATAGCTAACATAATTATAGATATGTTACATGTATGTATATATACGTATATAGAGGTATATAACTGCTTAATAAAATTGTCTAGGCTGAATTGATCTGGAAAACAAAGATATACTATGTGATGTGATCCTAATATGTGGATTGTGTTGAAGGATAGAAGTAGACTAAAATATTAATAATTAAAGTACATACGAAGATATATATGTGTGTACAACATGCAGTATAAATACGATTATAAATTTTCTATATAATCTCTATATACTATATTCGTACCTGAATGCTAGCATCATATAATTTCATTTAGTTTTACATTAATTTTAATCGGTTTTCAGATTTTATTTAAAGTATCAGGGTTTTGGAATTAGGTAAACTATTAAGTAATTTCCAATTCTATTGTAAAGAATTCTTACAGCCTATATCGAGATTCGTAATGGTTACTTTAATAAAAAATCGTTTAGTAGATAGCATTCAAATGTACATACCAAAACTTTTAGAAATTGTCCTCCGTCCAAAATTTCGATAATAATGTGATTAATAATTGTTTAGCTTTAGGATAATAAAAGTGTAGATAAATGACATTTATCTATTTTTACTTTGTTCGTTGCACATAATTATTTTGAACGAAGGAGTCAATTGGAAATTACTTATAGTTCGGTTTAGTACCTGGATTATTCATTCCCAGGTCAGAAACTCTACACACGAATCAAAATCAGCTGTAAAATTTCATTATCGGTAGTTTTTAAGAAATTAAACATCAATGCGCGTATTGGAAATTGAATTAGGAGAATTAGACTGGGGTCAGACATACAGTCATTAGTCATATTTTAAGTGAACTGAACAAACGTTAGAGAGCATCGAAATTTAAGCTAATCCCTATTTTTAAACCCGTAACTCACTTCCTGTAGACAAACAGAACGGAAGTAACTTCGGAACGAGTAATGTTATCGATTCATTAAGCAAGGTACCAGCAAGGCAGATGCAGATTTTTGGATAACAAGCAACCAAGATTTAATTGAGCCATTTTTGCCTGTACAAATGAAATTTTCAGTTACCGGCTAACGAAATCTCTCTTGATGAGGACATGCGTGAATACAATCTTTTCTTTTTACATCAAACATCCTTGAAAAAAAATACATTTGAAATTCTATTTCTTTTCGTATGATATGCAAACTGACTTTTTTATTAAAGTCGGAAAGAAAATTATTTTAATTTTCTTTGTGACATGTAACTTTTACTCAGTAACTTTTATATGAATCAAGTAATTTGTTAAACACGGCCGACGAGCAAAGGTTTTCCCCGATTTCCCTGAACACACGCACATACATTTACACACTACAAAACATAAAGAGAATCGCATCGTTTAAAAGGAAATGTATTGACAATTATTAATTACTCATTTAATTAATATTTTAATATCGAACTTCAGTTACTGTTTCACGTACTGGAGAGAGAAATTTTTATTCACGAAGTGGTCACTGTATTAAATATATAACAATGATTAATATCTGGTAAATAGTCCCAAACATTTTACTCGACGTCGATTTTCTTTCTGTGTATTCGAACAGTAATACTACATAAAAGTGAAATTCAATTTTTCAGCTTAATATACATACTTTACGTGTTATGGAGCATATTAATTCCCGGTATAACGAAATCTCGTATCGAGATTTATTCATTTATATAATTGCATCTTTATCTACCCTTTAACTGATACCCCGTTGCAGAGCAATGCGTCGATTTTTAATTACGCATTTCCCACGATATATTCTCACTGTCGGTTAGAATAACGCCACGGTTATTGAGTTGCTCGTTACTTGTGCCATTAAACCATATCGAGGGAACTATGTCGTGAATCAATTAGTTAATTGGACGGTATTCGACAAGAACAGAACGAGTTTTATGTCAAAGAGAAGCGTCATTGAGTTTGCCTGGCTTATTGCCGTTTAATTACTAATAATTAATTGCATACTTATCTCTATTTCGGGTATATAGAAATTGACGATACATGACTCTCCATTAGTGCAAGATTTCGAATATACACGTATACATACATAGACACGAACACAATTTTTTCCCCCTTCCCCTTTTCTGCTTCGAGTACATTAGAGTACGCTATATACCCATATTTATATGTAATATTCATACATAGAATATGTTCGTTTCTAATGACACGAGCATAAGTGATTTTGCGATGGCCAGATTGTATTTTGGAAGGGAGAACCTTTCATCAATCTCAGCAAAATATAATGACGATTCTGGGTAAATAAGTATTTACACTATAATATTGATTGTTAACCAGCCTGAACAGATAATCAAGATATTGAATATATATGGAGCATGTACTTATTTTTGAAAAAAATATTGTATATTCCCGATCGTTTGAGATAATTGTTTGACCCACACAATATTTATCTGTACCACGTGTACATCACAACCGTTTAGCCCCAAATTGTAAATAACGTTTGACTTTTTCAACACGCTAATTTTATTTATAAAACAAATATGTATTACATGGTTATATACTTGGAAAGAGATTCAGTAGCTTGTGAAAAATATTATTCAACGCTGAAAAATGCGAGTCAAATTGAGATGAATACCCAGCATCGCATAACACATTTTATTTAAAAAAGAAATCATTCTACAGGTAATTGCATGCGCAAATGAATTTACGGCTACTCTAGTTTTTCCTAAGGTTT